TTAATTTTGAAGCCAACAGAAGAAATTTGTGTAAATTTTCCAGTTTTTACTCAGAAAAATTTGTCTATTTTTGTCCCAATCTTCTGAAAACGAGACTATTTTGTGAATTTGTGATGAAAAGAGGGAACTGGTCCTATAGTAGGACAAGACTAGAAAGAATATTTATTAATGTACTATTAACCATAAAATGTTTTGATTTAAAAGCAGCAATGAAGATGAAATATCATGAAAGTGCATATAATAAAGGTCCTTGTCTTGCGGCCAGTCATAGTCGATCTCTTTTACAGAGATTGTATTCACTTGTGATTTTTGATAAAACACATACAATCATCTTTTGAAATATTCACTGCTGAATTTTTTTGGTTCACCAAACTTTGCTTCATGAAATTAAAGCCTTTTACCGTATCTGTTACATACATTGTAGTCTTCTTAGTTACATATTGTAGTTGCCTTGTAATGCCATATATCATATTGCACTTCAATAAGTAAATGACAGAGGTGAGCAAATACGATACCAGTTCTTTGCAATTTCAGATTTTCACGTTGTATTATTTCTAATACTATAAGAAATTTTATCAATATTGTACTTAGGAGGTTTTGACCAAATATAGGCTCTCATTTGCATATTAATTAACATATAATTTGCATAATGCAATCATGTTGTGCAAAGAAAATTAACCCTTAAAAACTATTTTGACCTCCTAGCTTGCCACTCGCTCATCGCTTTGGGCTGTTGTTTTTTGTACCTTATCCAAGGAAAATACAGTACATGATTTATTGATGGTTGCTATGGATACTGTGGTTTATCTAAAACAAAACTTGCTGGTCATAGATCAAATATTCACCCAGAAGGCTTTTAGGCTTTAATCTGGTAATTGCTTGATAAACCATGCAAGTAAAAACACTTTATTTCTCATGGATTTTATCTTAATGCATCTTCCTTCAATATATGTTTTTAAAACAGTGAAAGAAAGTCTTTCTCAATTTAAAAAAAAGTAATGAACAAATCATTAGAATGCCACAAATAGCACATTATTTGAATTTCATGTGAAAAAATGGGGTTTATGCATTCAACCCGTATTGAAGATATTATTCTATATTTTGAGTGCAATCATTATTTCCACCTTCAATTGTAGTGTAGTTTCATGAAATTCAATGTTTACAATCATTTTTAATAATAAACAAAATTAATTGACATAATTATTTTCTATAATTCTTTAAGATTTGTAGTCAATGGGATTTTAAGCCCATTATTTTAACAGTATATAGAACATTTTCATGAAATTGTTATTCCGGCTTTCAAATGGTTAAAATTGTACTTTAATAAAATCATTCCTATAGCTTTATTGTGGTTTTGGGACTACCGGTATTATGTGAAATATCTGATGGTCTGAATATGTGTGAATTTATTTTGAATTATTCCAGAAGCAAATTTTTTGTGATTACACATGCGTACAAACACTATGTCAAAACATTAACAAATCAAATTCTAACATACATTTGAATTGGAAGTGAAACGATGACAACAAATTTTTGAAATTTGAATTTTTATATCCAATTCCATGTGATTTGCGAAAATTCAACCCATTAAATGTGCCATGCAATATTCATCATACTGCTCCAATGACTTAATAGGTATACTATTTATATTTGCTTTTTTAGTACCACATTGTCACAAGTAAATGGGAATTTTTTATTTTTATGATCCAGTATACAAATAAATGCAATGTTGTTTATGTCCATTTCTAGAGCAAATACGCTTATGCATTCATACACCAGGGTTCTCCACGAGGGAATTTAACAGGGCGCCACGCCCTGTTATCTGAAATTGGCGCCCTGTTTAAATTGTCAGCGCCCTGTTATATTTCCTGTGCGCCCTGCATGCCGACAAATAATTGTTTACAAAACAGACCATCACTCATTGTCTACTGATGCTGTTTTTTTCCTGTTCATATTGGTTATCCACGGCGGCTTTCAGCGGTAGATGCGTTAAAAGTGGTTTTATTGGTGTATTTCATGACCGTACCTGTCACCAGGGCAATCAATCGATTGGAAAAACACATTGCAGCTCTAATGAGAGTCAGTCTGTCGTTTTTACGTCACACTGCCATAATTATGTTTGAACTTTGCTTGTACAGGTGACTTTTTTTTAATAGATGAGTTTACCTGTAACTTGTACACAATGTCTATTCATCAGGTTTGCTTGTTCATCTTTTTTTATGGTACATATGTATGCAGAATGATTTAAGAGGTACGTGCAGTCAAATCATGCTGACAAGTTTATGAATAACACAGTTGTCAATTACGTCAAAGTGCAGATTATTCGAACTGGAGTATGGTAGACGACTATAAAAATACTGTATGTGTAAACGAGTAAAAAAGACTCTCAAAACATATTCTTGATTTTTTGCTGAGAGAATCGATCTGACAAATAAATGGAAAAGAGTAAATAATAAAACAAGGTACTTAAATTTGTTTCCATGGATACTGTGACTTTGTGATTTTTCCCATAGCATTATCCCTACTCTGGTTATCATTTATAGCTTATTGAATAAGAGTCTCAGCAGATGATTTAAGATTTTTCTTATCGCTTAGCAACCTAGTGCATGAATCTACATCGATTTACCTCTGGTATGCAAGATTGTGTAACTTTAGACACAGTATATACATTATATCAGCTTCAGTTTTGTGCAGAACCTATTGATTCTTTATTGTAGTTATCCACTTTGAAAGTTTAACGAAATTTTTGTTAAATATAGAAAACATGTTTATCATTCATCTATACACTATGAAGGAGGACAAAATAAAATTGATAACATTTGGTATCTGTACATACTGTACTTGTAGTAGATATTTGTCTATTTAACAACTTTAGCAAATGGGCTGCTGGTTTTTAAACCCAATTTTTCTGTCACAAGCGTTCTCAAAAAACTCATCTATTCTCTGACGAACATCCCGATTTTCATCACCTGACATTGTTATCGTCATTATTATTTTTACGTTTGTTGTTGTTTCAAGCCGATGTCGACGTTTCCATTTCAAAGTTCAATAAATGTCAATCCTGACATGAGACTTTCCGACTTCATGAATTGTTCCGACCTATAGTGTACAGTGGCTATACTTTGAGCAAAATCACAGCCACAGATATTTTAGCTAATTTTTTAGCTAATCCACAATTTTGCTGAATGAAGATGTCACTAGAACAGTCTATTCTAGAAGTAGGATTATTGACACTTTATCTAAATTAAGATTCAGTTAATTCATGCATTGAATCAAATTTGCTAAAATGATACGTAGCTATTTACTGTTTTACAGTATATAAATTTGGTTGTTCAGGATTGAAGTTTTCTCAACTTCATCTGATTTCACCAGCTTTTTGACTGGTGTTCCACAGCAGCTTGTGTAGAGCCTATTAAAATAGATGGTACAGAGGTGTGCGTCCAAACAACCTACACATGTAAAACCTCCTCCCCAAGAATCGATGATGTTCCATTTCCCGTCAAAATAAATCATTTAAAAACAATTTAGTGATATCATAATTTATTTGTCTATCCATGTTGGGATAGGCAATTTCTACATTTATACCTGTTCTTGTTATCTGCCTTAATTTAATTTTAAAATTTTTACAAAATTGACTTAATTGACTTAATTGACCTAATTATTTTGTAATGTATGCGGAATACCTCACACAAATTATTGTGATCATCATGAAATATGATAAAATCAGTTGCTATGTCAACAAAACTTGAAATATATTAAAATTCTGAGCTTAGCCTATACTTGGGAGGAACAAGATGGTGTCTAATCACCAAATCAAACTTAATTTGGATTGTAATCAATCAAGGTTATTTTAATGTATTTTAGAATTTTTTTTAAATTTAATTTCTGGATACAGTAATATGAGATTTCTGATATACTTACTGTACATGATACTTTGATATGATACATACAAAGGTCGGTGAGAATTTTTTTTACAGATCATACAAAGTGGGAATACAACTTTAAAAGCCGGATATCGATATTATGATCTTTCTTAGCTATGCTTCTATCTGATCACAGTAATCCAATCTCTTTCTAATGCATTAACTGTATACAAAATCATTAAAATAAAGTATAACTTATTTTGACTATAGAAAAATCAGCATATGTGCTATAAGTAAAGCAAATACGGTATTACAATCTCTGAGTTGATTACATTTAATTCAGATACTTGCAATTTCCGAAAGTATAAAAGGAAGACCTTTTATCCAAATTGACTCTGTTTAAATAATTATATCAACCACAAGCACTGTGTTTTCCAATGGAAAAGCACATAAAAAATGCATTTATTCAAAGAATTGTTACAATCTGAGTTATGGCCATAGGTAGACCTTTATTATTTAAAATGCATGCACATACATGTACATTACTAATATTAAATATGGCTGTATACATTAATTTTATATATTTTGTCTTTATAATAATTTTCGTTATCATCTTTTAGTGACCACCATAAGGGCATCAACACGTTGCTATGAGTATTACCATGTACTGTAAAATTTTCGCTTGGAAATCATTTTCGCTGAAGGAATAATTCAGTGAAAATAAAATCCAGCGAATAAACTTTTTTTTCTATATTTTTTACGTTCAGCTCATCAAAATTCAGTGAAAATAAATTCCAAACAGAAGGCCAATAAAGTGTTTTCAGCGAAAATTATTTCTAGCTAAAATAAAGTATTTTACAAAACATGGATAAACTGTTGTTAATATTCATATGGGCACATATGATGGAATTTATTCTTTAAGTTTTCTGATTTATATTAAATTTTACCACAATCTATTTTGAAAACCGAAGAAGCAATAATTTTTTTTTTTTTAGTTGCACTCAATATTGGGGCTGCTTTAATCGTAATTTTTCATTGCTGTCAATGTGCACTTACATTAATATGTGTCAAAGCACTGTAACAAACATTACAGACTATTTGACTAACAATGGTACTCTATCTAAATCCCATTCACAGACTATCATCAGGAGATTCATTGTTAAATTTTCAACCAGTACATCAGTCAACGATTTCAAACTCTGATCAACATCTTGTATTTAATGGAAACATACAAAATATAAACAGAAAGGTGAAACAGTTGACATTTCTTACAGTATTACAACATATGTTGACAATTGAAGATTTATTGAAAGGTACGTGCCATATTTGTTTACATTTTTTTTCTAGCAGATAATTAAATTTTAAATGTGTTTGTTCAGTAAACGTTTGTGAGGTCAGCACATGTTTTCTAAATAAACCTGTTATTCATTACGATTGGCAATATTTCGGCCAACATAAACTATTATATTCAAATATAATGTTGTTTTGTCTGTGCATGAAATAGTACTGGTGTACAAAATGTTCTCTACTCGTGTATAATTACTCAACATATATTCCATCAAACAAATTCTCCTTTGTGTACATTAAAAACAATGTTCAGTTACCTGTATGAGAAATCATAATCCAATTTACTAGTCAACAATTTACAACAACAACTTTAAGCGAGAGGGTCGTCACCTGCGCACACGCGGGAATTGAGTCCCAAGTGAAGATAACAACACATGCTAAAATTGCAAAGGCTCATGGGTAGACTCTTGTTTGTAAACAATGACATGCTATGGCCATCTGATGCATGCGCAGGTGACAACTCCCTCGCTTTAAACCAAACAAAACTATTTCAAATCAATAAAAATTGGATAAAAATTTTGTGGGTGTGTTAACTTCACAGGGGTTCTTCAGTCATATCAACTTTATCATTAAATAATTTCAATTGCCAAAAAAAAAGTCTAACAACGAAAATACATCCGTTATGGTGCATATAAAGCCACAAAACTAGAGTGGATATTAGTGGAGTTTTGGCTCATATTTACACGATTTGATGCTTTTACCGAAATGACATTTGTGAAAAAAAAGTTTTGCAAAAATTTGTCTCGTAAGACAGCAGAGATTACAAAATTTCACTATTTTCACTGGCTCAAGAAATTTGTCTCCAAGGAAATGAAAGTTTATAGAACTATGCTAATCAAGATGAAATATAGAACATTTATTAAAATGTCATGTAACCTAAGAGTGGTCAAATTTTGTGTAGGTTTAGTTTTTTTTAGCTCCGCTGTTGACTTTTTCGAGCGGAGCTTATCATATGAGTGATTGTCCGTCATCAGTCGACGTTCGTGTCAATGTTTTACTTTTTCGACTTCTTCTTGAAAACTACAAATCTGAATACTTTGATTTGTTCATTTTCATGATATATCTTCAATTCTCTAATTTTGGTGAATATTTGTTTGTCATTTTTGGTAAAAAGTGATATTTTCGACTTTTTGTTGAAAACAGCAAGTCCAATTGCTTTAATACTATACATATTGTTCATTTTCTAATGATATCTTCAATTCTTAATTGAAATGTGCATTGCTAACAGCAGAGCTATCTCAGCCGACAAGCTGCTTGTTGTTTTTAGAGTGGGACTTCAGACCTACCCAAAAATAATTGTTTCACTAGAAAAATATAGTGACTGTTGCATCTTGGTAGTTCTCACAATAAATCACTTATAGTCTCATGAAGTTTTGAAGAAACATTTGATCTGTCAGTTATCAAAAATAGTAGGCAGTTAAGGAAGGATAATGTTTCTTGTTTGTGCATGTTTCCATGGTAACTAATAGATGGGTTTTGAGATGTTTCTAAAGGCAGACAAATGAATGCAGTCTATGCCCAGAAGTCTTGGTGTTCAATTAATGAGAAACTTTAGTGCAACTCCTTAGAGGCGTTATCATGTGCTCTATCAATAAACACAATATGTACAACATCTGCATTCCATCTATTGGTTTTAGTATTAGGTAGAAGCCTACTCATAAATGAAAATACCCCAAATTTATTCTTTTTGCAATAAATTATATTTCAAGGTGATATAATAAAGATATTGACTTAAAAAAAGTCAGCCTAATTTTTGAGAAAATGATTGTTGTATTTTAGTGATACAGTGTAGTTGCTATTTTGGTAGTATCTTAATGCTTTTACCATGAGTTTCTGTGGTAGAGATATTATATCTCAAATTGTAGGCTGGTAACCTAGGCTGAAAAAGTCATCTATTGTTAATGATGGGATACCTTTTGTTATGCTGAATTATTTTGAAAATCTGAGTTTTAAAAAGTTTCAAAAAATGTAATTTTTCTTTAACATTGTGTATGTAACTGTAACACATAATAATGCTATTTTATTGTGGCATTATAAAACTGAAAGAATTTACTTTTCTTGAATAACATAACTTAACTGAAATTGGATTTTTTATGATTTATAAGAATTAGCTATTAATTAATGGACATTATCGTTAGCCTCTGTGAGTGCATGGTGCCAATTTGAAGACATTTTGAAATTCCTTGTACCGTATATGCAGCTTTCTTATGTTCATGTTGATGTGTTGCATTTTAAGACGATTATTTTATATTTATTGGGTTTTAGAAAGATGTACGTATATTGAGGCATAAAGCATCATCACTGATAAAACAGAAAATTATAAGTTCATTAACCTTTTCACCACCGGACTTTCTCGCACAAATTTGTCTGCACTTTTTTTTTATATTCTTTAATATTTCTGAAAATGAACCCTAATTTTGGACAAAATTTGATTCAATTTTCATTTTTTACTCAACAAATTTTGTTATTTTTGTCACAGTCTTCTAAAAAAAAAAGCAGACTATAAACAGAACTATTTTGTGAATTTGTGATGAAAAGAGGAAACTTGTGATGAAAAACAATTTGAATAGAATGTCTTCGTTTAAATTCAGGTCTTGTTGTACTGTTAGTAACTGTGTCACTTTGTTGCTTCACTGCAGTACGTGTTTAGTTAGATATTGTGAATCTTTGTAAATTACCACTTGTTGAGCAGTGTCAGAACCGGTAAATAGCAAAATTGTTGTCACCATGGAAACAAGTTCAGATAAATTTGCTTCACTTCGTTTTATACTTTACCTGATCTGTTGCTCTTTGAAATATTAAAAATCGTTAGTGTCCTGCGTTTCTTTTTCAGCTGTCATTCTCTGCGAGTGATATTGATTTTTGCTTTTATTCTAATAACATATTCAATACTGTAATTCTCAAATACGTCAGAGAATTCAAGGACAGCTCAAATAATCAATATTTGTGCAGTGTGATGACATTCTGTTTCGTTTCTGTCTACCTCGGCATTATCGGCAGGTCTATATAAAAAGGGGTATTATTAAACGGCAGATATGCGAGTGTTGAGGAGTTTATATCTTCTAAATCAATAAGTATTACTTTGATTTATGATTCTTAAGACTTACAGCAGGCTATTTAACTGTGGTTAAAGTGCGGTGGTCATCGCGCAGCACGTGTTCGAATTTCATGTAAATAAACATTGTATTTTACACGCGTTGTATATGTCGCTATGAGTCCCATATCGAACAGGACGCGGCACGACGACTGCCGCCCTTTAAGTTATCTGGACATTATTGTTTGGCCAGAAAAGTGAAATTCTAGGTATCAGGAATACAGCGTGTCTAATTTGGTGGTGATCCCATGAATTTTGAGTACCAACATATTTTTCGTCCTAAAATGCAAAATTCTTCTTGAAATGGGTTACAAAAATTCAGGGATAAATAAATTTGTCAAATACAAGTTGAGTTATGACCTCTATTTTTATGTTGTGTTTTAGCCTAGATATAATGATATATTACCTTTTTGATAAAACCTCTACCAGTACATGTACATGTCTACTCAGTCGTGACTAATCCAGTAATTGCATTATTAGCCCATGATATGAGGGCTTATAGTTGTTGACTTATGGCCCTACATGTCATATTGTACAATGATTTCCCCTCAGAGGTGATGGGCAGATTACAACCAATTTTAGGATTCAGGTTTTTAATTCTACTTTTTAAATTCCAACATTGACATGCCTCTCCCAATTCCTGTTTGTGAATTTTTAGGTCGGCTGTTGAAAAAGTCAAGTGGACCTAATCATATTACTGTACATCGTCCTGCGTCCACGTCATTATTTTTAGCTCCACTGTCGAGCCAAGCTTATCATATGAATGACTGTCCATTGTCATCCGCGTCAACTATTTCGACTTCTTCTTGAAAACTACAATTCTTATTGCTTTGGTACTTACCTGTATATATGTACCTTGGGCAGACCTCTCTTAGATTTATTCATTTTGTGATTTCGATGAATATTTTTGTCATTTTTGGTAAAAGGTAATATTTTCGACTTGTTAAAGACTGCATGTCTGATTGCTTTGATATTATGCATATAGGTACCTCTGGTAGACCTCTCTCAGATTTGTTGATTTTCCAATAATATCTTCAGTTCTTTAATTGAAATGTGCATTGCTAACAGTGGAGCTATGTCAGCCAAGAGACTGTTTGGTATTATTTGCCTGAATGTTTGTTCAACATTTTGGACATGGTTTTATAAAAGTCATGTGACTTCATTAATATGCACAAATGTAATTCTAATTATTCTGTCACTGATGAAGCTACGCCACTGAATGGATATTACATGGGTGCTGTTTTGAGAAAAACAGCGAATAAATATGAATAAAATGTCATTTTGGCAGCAGTTTCCATAGACCACACTGAAAACACATTCCTAGAGTTATGCCAGGCATCAAAAAGTAATTTTCCAGCATATGTCATCAAGCAAGATATATCCATTCTGAAGAAGACAATGGTAAAAGGCCCAAAAACAGACAGAACATGCTATTTCACTCTATTTTGTACACTGATTTTCCATATATTTTCTTCTTTTTTGTGACATGAAATATCAAATATGTAAAAATGAAGAAAATGACAATAATTTTACATTTGTGTAGCATTCCACCTTAACCGTTTCATTACCAGATCCCTCTTTTCATCAAATAATTCTGTTTATAGTCTGAACTCTCCAAATCAACTCAAATTTTGTCTGTTGGCTACAAAATTATAATTCATTTCCAGAAATATTGAAGAATACCTTGTTTAAGAAAAAAAGTACAGACAAATTTGGGGTGGTTTCACCGATTTTCCAGTAATTGTACAGCATGTATGTACAAAAACCTCTCAAAGAGGCAAACAAAGTCTGAAGGCAGAGCTTGCTCCGTCATCCACAATAGAAATTCTTGATGATAGATACATGTCAGTCTTGAAATCTTCAATTATCTCT